GAACATCGTCCTTCTGCGCCGCTCAGCATCCCCTTAGATAATGATACACCATGGCCCCCAACATCTGAAACTGAAATCACTTCGCTAATTCTACAAATGAAATCTGGCAAAGCCCCAGGAAGTGACTTCATTGTCGCTGAACTTCTGAAAGCGCAAATAAACTGGTGGGCCCCGGTCCTTGCTAATTTATTTTCATATATAGATAAGACAACTGAAATCCCTAAAGATTGGGGACTAGCTATAATTGTTCCCATATTTAAAAAGGGCAACCCCTCTGATCCATCTAATTATAGACCAATTAGTCTCCTGAATGTGATCTGTAAACTTTATACAAAACATCTATGCCTAAAATTATGGGAATGGTTAGATCACAATAACTTGCTAGAAATTGAACAAGCAGGGTTTACATCCGGACGTTCCACCATTGATCACTGCTTAGTGTTAGATTACTTTGTCTATAAGTATGCGAAATATTGGAAAAAGTCATTATATGCGGCCTTTGTGGACCTAAAGGCAGCATTTGATTCTGTATCCAGGAGCAGGCTCTGGGCCAAATTGGCCAATATGGGTATTAACAGAAGGTTATTACTTCTGATGATTAAGCTTCATGAGAACAATACCCTCCAGATAAGACTTGCACAGGACGGCAGACTCTCTAGAGAAATCCTAGTCCAAAGAGGAGTTAGACAAGGATGCCTATTAGCCCCATTCCTATTTAACATCTATGTTAACTCCCTGGTCACATGCTGCCGTGAAATTGAAACCCACCCCCCTGTGTTCTCTAATGGCAGAAAAGTACCAATTTTAATGTATGCGGATGACGCTGTTCTTCTCTCTCAAACCAAAGTGGGTCTGAAACGTGCCTTAGGAAAGTTTAGTGACCAATGTAACACTGAACTGTTAACAATTAACTTTGCCAAAACCAAAATTGTACATTTTAACCGCTCCTTTAGGAAGGATAATTGGAGCGTAAAGGGAAACGCCATTGAACAGACTAAGACCTTCCAATACTTAGGCATTACTTTCTCTCATAATGCCAAATTCTCAACACACTTGACCACATCAGCTATATCAGCAGAAAGAAGTGCAAATGCTATCCTTAGATTATTCAGAAGGAAAGGAGCTGGCTTCCTCCCGATGGCCCTAACAGTCTTTCAGGCAAAATCTTTAGCCCAACTTCTATATGGCTCTCAAATTAGCCCCTCTGCCAACCTTAAGACCCTTGAAACAGTACAATCTAAATTCTTAAGATCATTATTTGCTACTCCTAAGTGTACACCTAATGCAGTCTTAAGGCAAGAGGCAGGACTGCCCAGAGTGGAATTAAAAGTCTGGGAACAAGCAATATCCCTCTGGCTGAAAATCCATTACAATCCTAAGGGTCTATTACCTTGCTTCCTGGCCGCAGTTCCCTATCCTCCTTGGCTTATGCAAATAACTAACAAGATCAAACAAATTGGCCTAAACCCTGAAAATATTTTTATTGGAACTCTGAACAAGGCAAAAGCTACTATCACTCGGAGACTTTATGATATCGAATTACAACAAGAAGGCGCCCTACTCCCAGAGACGTATAGATGTTTAAAAGCTTGGCCTAATTTTGTAGCTGCCCCTTACTTAACTAACATCACTAACGAAACCTATAGATGGGCTTTCTCTAGAGCCCGCTTTGAGACAATGCCCTCAGCAGTGCTGTACGGCAAATTCACGCGAGTTCCAATGCATGCGCGTCTCTGCCCTTGTATGTCTAATAAGGTAGAATCTGTCACACACATTCTTCTATCTTGCGAATTCTATAGTGAAGAACGAGTTCAACTTATTTTACCGCTTCTATCAAAATTTATACCCCTTCAATATTATTTGGAATCCTCCCCTGAAATTCTTCGAAAACACCTCCTGGAAGATTCCTCAAGCTCAGTATCATATGAGGTGGCTAAATTTTGCACTTTAGTAATTAAGAAGCGTAAATCTCTTCTGTTGAATGGCACACTGTGAAGTTCTCTTGTGTAACCTTTTTCTTTTCTGAAGTTGTTGCTGATTTCTTGTTGTCTGATCTTGTGGTGTTTAGTGTCACTGGCTTTGGCCGCAATAAACTTGATTGATTGATTGATTGATAACTGTGTAAAGTTAATCCATTCAGTCCTGAACTTTGAACTATTTTCAATTGAAAACCTTACAACCTTACAGTGATTTATTACCTCGATTGAAAGGCAAATAAATGTGCATAAGGTGACTTAGTTTAATAATCACCCCTCCCAAGAGGAACTCTGGGAACTGTAGTTCTGTGAGTGGTGGCATGCGGCTAGGTTCTGCTTAACAAATAAACCCCAGCACTCTCACCAAACTACAATTCCCAGAATTCCGGGGGGGGGAGGGGGGAGTCATGATAGCTAAAGTGACGTAGGCTTGTAGAAAGATCCAAGAGCTTTCCCAGGTGACATCTTGAGGGATGTTTTTGAGAGAAGGGCAGAAAATGCAGCTTTACCCAACACCGGCCAAAGATGTTGAGCGCACCTTTGCCCAGTTTACCAGAACCAGTTACTCTCCCTCTGGCCTCTTGGTTTCAGAAAATAATGCCAACATACCATATTTTTCTGTGTATAACATGCCCCTGTGTATAAGACACTATTTTGGGGGACTCAAAATTAAGAAAATGGGGGGAGATGGTCCAGAGTTGTTGAGGTTTTTTTTGGGGGGAGAATTGACCAGAGTTGTGGAGATTTTTAGGGGGTGGGGATTGCAGTAAATCACTAACCCAGAAAATTGCTCGCATTGCAGAAGCCTGCAAGCATCTGCCCAAGCCACGCCCTTCTACCCTGTTTGCTGCTCGCAAACAGCAGCCAGCATTCAAACTCCCAATTGCCGCAGCGGCAGCCAATCCACAGCAGCCCTTGCCGCAGCAACCAATCTCCCTCCCAATTAACGCAGCACCAGCCAAACCAAAGCCACCCTTGCTGCAGCCACCAATCACCCTCCAAATTGCCACTGACAAGCTGCAGCTCACGGCTGCAACCAATCGCTCATCCCCCCTATGCACTATCCATTTATGAGACGCACCCCGTTTTTACACCTTATTTTACATGGGAAAGTACGGTGTTTCACATCTGGCAACCGATATGCCCTTTTGGTTTCAGAAAGTTCATAGGTAGACAAGTCTAAAAAGCGCAGGACACAAACTAAGCTCTCCTACCACACTCTTTGGGGGAAGTTGGTGTTGCTGGTCGAAGGAGCTTGAGGTGGCTCTGTCCGGATCTGTGCAACCCTCGCTTTCCAGGGGCAGTGCTGAGGAGAGCAGCGGTGCCAAGGAGGAGAAGCCACAGTCCAGGTGCCAAGGAACTGGCTCTGGCCTGGGGGCCACTGGTTATCTTTGCTTGAGGTCAATGATCCTAGCTGTGGTTACGGCACTGCAGGGCATTGGACTCAATGACCCTTTGAGGCAATGACCCTGTAGAGTAGTTCTATGGTTCCATCAAATGCTTTATGATCCTGGTGTTAAAACATGCTTGCCTTGAATTTACGCCTTATCCTCTCATGCTTCCCTTTCTATCTGTTCCACTTTAGAAACTGGCAAAATTCGAACTGGTTCAATATAACGTTGACCAGGATGAGCCGGTGAGGGACGAGAAAGGATATTGCATCCCAGTGGTCACAGGTAATAAAATAAGCGTACATTTACATCCACACCATAGGTTTAAAGCACTCTTATGCCACGGCTTGCCCCCAAAGAATTGCAGGAACTGTAGTTTTGCAAGGGTGCAAAACTGTAGCTCTGTATGGGGTCTCCTAACATCTCTCAGCACTCTTGACTTCAGAATTTTGGTTTCTCACTTCAGCATGCGTGTGTGTTTGGGTCCAGCATCACATACAAGCACTAATTTTACATATGAATTGCCCAGTCCACAAAACTCTTAGGCGCATTACGGGAAGATTTTTTTTTTAAGATTGTCTATAGAATTTCTGGAATGTCTTTTTCCCAAGAGAATTCAAGGTCAATTACAAATGATTAAATATAAAATACATGGGGCTACCTTTGAAAGTGACCCAGAAACTACAATTAATCCAGAATGAAGCAGCTAGACTGGTGACTGGGAGTGGCTGCTGAGGCCATATAACACCGGTCCTGAAAGACCTGCATTGGCTCCCAGAACGTTTCTGAACACAATTCAAAGTGTTGGTGCTGACCTTTAATGCTCTAAACAGCCTCGGCCCAGTATACCTGAAGGAACATCTCCACCCTTATCACTCAGCCTGGACACTGAGGTCCTTCTTCAAGGGTCTTCTGGTGGTTCCCTCACTGCGAGAAGTAAGGTTACAGGGAACCAGGCAGAGAGCCTTCTTGGTAGTGGCACCTGCCCTGTGGAATGCCCTCTCATCACATGTCAAGGAAATAAACAACTATCTGACTTTTAGAAGAAATCTGAAGGCAGCCCTGTTTAGGGAAGTTTTTAATGTTTGATGTTTTATCGTGTTTTTAATATTCTGTTGGGAACCGCCCAGAGTGGCTGGGGAAACCCACCCACCTAGATGGGTGGGGTATAAATTATTTATTATTATTCTTCTTCTTCTTCTTCTTCTTCTTCTTCTTCTTCTTCTTCTGAACTAACTCAGAAATAAATTAAGATTTAAAGGGTTTTGTTCTTTTTAAGGAACTATCCAGTTTATTTTAAGACCAGTAATGTTCCAAAGGGGTAAAAGCACTTTTGTGTATGCACTATACTTTTAAAGAACATTCAAAATGCATTCCTTCCCTAAAATAATTCTAGGTATTGTAGTTAGTTGGGGGATGCTGGGAATGGTAGCTCCGTGAGGGGTAAACTTCAAGGGGAAGGCATGCAAAGCTACCTTTTCCATTCAGCTCCTGTACTCTAAAAGCATTGCCCTTTATGAGTGAAATTGTTTAGAGTAGTCTGGTCCAGTCAATTTCACCACTGTGTTGGTTTGTTATGGGGCATGGGGAAATAGAACAGAATTACCAAGGTTCTCCTTCCTTCCCTTCCAAGGCGAGACAGGATTACTGGTGGCCAAGATCACTAGCCATACCCCGTTCTCTGGCTACGAAGGAGACCGACAGAAGTCGGAGAAGAAGATTCTCCGGGATGTTTTTACCAAAGGAGACTGCTACTTCAACAGTGGTGACCTCCTGATGCAAGACCATGATGGCTTTCTATATTTTCAGGACCGGGTAGGAGACACTTTCCGGTGAGTCCCACCTCTCCAGGTGGGGTGGGATCTGCTGCACTTGGTCTGCCGATGTTGCAGTTTCAGATGATATACACCGTATTTTTCCATGTATACTACGCTCCCATGTCTAAGATGCCCCCTTTTTTGGGGGGGGGACTCCAAATTAAGAAAAAAACCCTCAGCACTACCCGTGTATGAGACGAGCCCCAATTTTAAACCCAATTTTTTAGTTAAAAACCCCTAGTCTTATACATGGAAAAATACGGTATATCTGTTGTTGGCATTATGCCAGGTATAGCATATAACACAGTGCAAATTTATGCAAGGTATATTTAGAAGCAGGGGGAGTACTGAAATGTCTCGGGGACAGGCCCCTGACAGAAGCCTGCATGAGATTTGCATTTGCTCATTTATATTCATAGATGGAAATTTCTGCATGGCTGCGGTCTCACTGCCCCTTTGCTTTGCAATATACCCAGCAGCCCTCAAAGCAAATGGTTGAGGGGGAAACAACAGGAGATCTAGCTGTCGGTGCAAAAAGACCCACAATTAGATTTTCAGGGTTTGTCCTTGCCTCTGTTTGCCCCGCTTCTGCCTGCTTCTACCCCTTGCAGAAACTCGATCTTTAGCACCAAATGCAACTGGATTTTCCACGATTGCTGTTTGTTCCAATTTATCACTAAAGAGTGGGTTTTCCAGGGGGAAATGACAGGGCAAAGGCAAAATCACTCCAACCCATGCCCAGAAAGCATGACACAAGTGGAAAACTGCTGAGCCCTGTGCTTTCAAGTGGAAGTGTGGTCGAGCCCTTAGCAAACACCTCAGGAAGAAAGATGACAGAAACACATGTACTGTAAATGTCCTTATTCTGTACAGAGATCATTCGTATTGTGATGTTGAAAGGAGGCAGGAAAACAAGCAATGTGCCAGGAAGTTTCTGGTTCTGATCTGCAATGAACACTGTCAGATTGTTGCTGAGACCCACACCTCGTGTAAAGCCCCATTGCCGATCCTGGTAGCATCCTTAGTGGGGTAGGGGAGCTGAAAAGAATGCCAGTATATTTCACATCTGGCAACCAATGAACCCCTTTGGTTTCAGATAGTACATGGGTAGACAAATCTAAAATGCCTGGGACACAAATTTTCACGGCCCTCTAGCAGCTATTACCAGAGGTAATGTATTTAGCGTTAGCAAAATACACACCAGGAGATTTATTTTGGTCAGAATCGAGTATAAACTTCCAGAGTGAACATTAAATATATTACTTCTGGTAAATGAGCCTCTGCAGCCACAAGAGGGCTGTGGAAGTTTGGGTCCTGGCTTTTTAGACTCTCCTGCCCATGTCGTATCTGAAACCAAAGGGGCACATTGGTTGCCGGATGTGAATTCCTCCCCCCAGCTCTCCTACCCCACTACCTGGTCCTATTCTTCCTCCTTCTTGCTGTTGCTGCTTGCTCTCCTGCTGACTCTGAGGTAGCAGAAGGTGTAGGAAGAAGCAGGGATGTGTGCCTGCTTTGGTTTATTTCACTGTTTTATTATGGGGCTTAAATGGACAGACATTGAGGGGTGAGCACACAGGAGTGTGCCAACTCTGCCCCCACCTTCCTGCCACCCTCCACAGATTTAAAGATTATGGCACGATATTGTACACAAAGCACTTTGAACACTCAAGAGCGGGAAAGAAATGCTGTGGTAGTTGCTCTTAACATAATAGGCATGCTCATCTCCCCAAACGGTAACTGTTCCCCTCTCTCTGCAGCTGGAAAGGGGAGAATGTGGCCACCACGGAGGTTGAGACGACCTTGGCAATGCTGGAGTCGGTTCAGGAAGCCAGTGTCTATGGTGTGCCGGTGCCAGGTGGGTCCTGAAGTGCCATTCTTAAATGCAACTTTGGGCAGCCAGAGTTAGCATCTGTGGCAGCAGAAGATCTGCTCCACAGCAGCAGGCTAAGGGAAGAGGTATTGAGGATAGTCCATTGTACCCACCATCTTTGCACACTGGCACCATTTCCAGTCACGGTTTGAAGTGCCTGTGAGTCCCACGGTCTATAGAGCACAAGGTGCCTAAACCAGAGGTGGGGAACCTATGCTGCCCCAAATGTCACTGGACTCCAGCTCCCATCTGCCCCGGAAGGTATGGCCGGCAGCTCACTCCCATTCCCCCTCCACTGAAAAATGTCCTTCACCCACAATGCTTCCATACTGGGCATTCATTGTGGAATAGCCGCACTTCGTTCTCTCTCCTTATGGTGGATCTGCAGAATGCGCTGAACTGAGATTTAGAATCGCAGAGTTGGAAAGGACCCCAGCGGTCATCTAGTCCAAACCGCTGCAATGCAGGAATCACAGTTAGATCCATTAGGTCAACAGTGTTTATTTCGAAATGCTGCTTTATTTTTATATGCTGCTTCTCCACTGAAGAGATACAAGACAGTGAATGTAATATGCAACACTCTCACATCGATAGATTGCATCAGCTTGTAACATGAACAGAAAACCTGCCCTGGCCACAAACTATACCACTTCTTCTTCCTTTTCCTAATGGCCCTTCTCCCTTTCTATTAGTCCCACATTAATGCCGTCAGTGGCGCAAAGAGTGCAAGAGAAGCTGGAAGGCATGTCTCTGGTGACATGTGTAAAATGCGTTTTGCTAGCTACAGTGGGAAGGAAAGCTGGAAAAAACACACATCTGGCAACCAATGGGCCCCTTGGGTTTCAGATAGCACATGGTAGACAAATCTACAAAGCCCGCAACACAAATTTTCATGGCCCACTAGCGGCTATGATGGCTCATTTGCCGGAAGTAGTGCATTTTGCGTTAACTCTGGAAGCGTAGACTTGATTCTGACCAAACTAAGCCTCCTAGGGCAAAATATAGATCAGAAGGCTTAGTCTGGTCAGAATTGAGTCTACTCTTCCAGAGTTAACACGAAATACCGTATTTTTTGCACCATAACACTCACTTTTTCCCTCCTAGAAAGTAAGGGGAAATGTCTGTGCGTGTTATGGAGGGAATGCCTATGGGTGGCGGGGAGGATCTGCTGCAGTCGTGAGCAGAGGATCCATGGTTCCCCTTCCTTCCCTCCTCTGTGGCTCGCTTTGAAACAGCAAAGCGGGAGAAGAGCCGCTGCCGGGGATGAGTGGGGAGGAGGGAGAAAAGCAGAGCCTGCTTGCTTTAAAGGAGCAAAGTGGGAGAGGAGAGGAGCCTTCTCCCCTTATTCCCCTCTTCTTCATTATTAGCAGCATCCTTCTCCACACACCCCACACGTGCTCCTTGTCCCTTGAGTGCTTTTCCTTCCCTCCCCACTTAAAACGTGGTTACAAAGCATGGATCCACATGGATCCTCAGGATTTTGCATTGGGCTACTCCAAACTCACTGTCAGATCACATGTCTGTGGCCACAGCATGAACCACAAAAATCATACATCCACTGTTTCATTTAGAATATTTTTTTTCTTGTTTTCCTCCTCTAAAAACTATGTGCGTGTTATGGTCGGGTGCGTGTTATAGAGCGAAAAATACGGGTACCTCACTTCTGGTAAATGAGCCACCATAGCCACTAGAGGGCTGTGAAAATTTGTGTCCTGGGCTTTTTAGATTCATCTACCCCTGTAATATCTGAAACCAAAGGGGTGCATTGGTTGCCAGATATGAAATACGTTGGCACTATTTCCAGCTTTCCTACTCCACTACTTAGAAGGGCTCCCACAACGATCAGAGCAAAGTCACAAACCATGACATTGCACCACTGTCTCCGGCAAATATGCTAGCACAAATATTTGAGATCAAGATGCCAGTTAGGTTAATCTTTCTCTCTAGTCCACACACTGCCTTGTGCTACAGGCAGACACATTCAGATGTAACCCTTTTATCTATTCTTAGTTGTACTGTGGACAATGAAAATGTTTGCGGTAGCAAAATTCCCTTCACCTCCTAGGGTGCAAGATGGACTGATCATTTCCCCTCTAATGTGGAGAATGTGATTATTTGTGACATAGCTAAAAGCCAGAAAGACCAGAACCAACTTCTTTGCTATTTACAACATGATCTCTACTTGGTTGCCAACAAGCAATTTTTACTGTCCCACCGGCAAGCCCAGGACAGTGGCTATTTACAAGCCTATTTAATTAATTATTTCATGGCATGTATATTGTGCTTTTAAAAAAATCATTTCTAAGCAGTGTATGTAAAGATCAGCCATACAAAGTACAATGAAAAATTCATCATAAAACTGAACATGAATCCCAAGCCTACGATGCAAACCATAACTTCCAGGCTCCCTCTAAATACAATAAAAGAAAAGCAGCCTGGAAAGCAGGTGTCTAAGCTAGCTTCTGAAATAGCAGAAGGAGATGATAGTAATAATTTCACAACTACAAAATCTATATGCCTAAGGGAGGGTGGAAACATATGAAGAAGGAGAAAAGCAATCTGAAAGAGAAAATTCACTTGGCAAGAAAAAGAATGAGCCACACTGGGTTCTCCATATAGTCTAGGAGTAGGTCAAGGAACAATGTTCACAGAATACAATTTCCCCAAAGCGACATTAACATGTTTTATTATTTACTGCTGAAGGAGGGTCCGTCCATTTGCACATCCAGGTACAGGACAAATGTCTGCAACTGTTATACGTCTAGAGCAGTTAGTTGTGACAAGTGAAGCACCAGGACACAAGCACTTTTTTTAATGTGATAAGTTTTATATTGCAGCTTCCTGCAACACCCACCTTCTTGTTTGTTCCCTGTCCAGCTTCCATTTTTCTTTCAAATGTCAGAAAATCTGACTTAAAAACAAATAAGAAAATTCCATAGAATAGCTGTGCAGGAGAGAAGAAACTGAGAGCAAAACCAAAGTCACAGGAGATTCTGAAAGAGATAAAGTTATATCAAGTACAGTGGTACCTCGCAAGACGAATGCCTCGCAAGACGAAAAACGCGCAAGACGAAAGAGTTTTTCGTTTTTTGAGTTGCTTCGCAAGACGAATTTCCCTATGGGCTTGCTTCGCAAGACGAAAAAT